ATTAAATGGGGTTTTACATCCGTGGGTGGATGGGAAAGATCCTGCTCAGTCACCTACACTAACAGTATTAACAACTATAAAACAAATACTAGAGGCATTTGCAAAGCAAGAGAGTCCCAGTTCCAAAGGCCACCATGGATGATGGTAGGAAGGATTTGACAGTGAGGGTCAGTTCGGTAGGGTCATATATTGAGCACCATGAAGGCGTTGCTCCAGGGGGCTCCCGAGCTGACCCCATGGGAGCTGCTAAGGGAAAAAGTTTGTGACGACTGTGCATGCAGCACGCAAACTGGAATCGTCAGGTACTCAAAGAACCCAATCTTTCTTTTTGCTGACCCTTTTCTTCTCATGGACAGTTGGGAGCTACATTCTTACAACCAGGCTCTAGTCCTGCTTTGGAGAGTTATTTTTTCGTTGCATTTATCTTGCCCAGAGGGGTTAATACAAATACTGGTGCCCGGGACAGAACAAGCTTGGGTCACAGAGGGAAAGAACACAGGAACCAAGTCTTCAGCTGTTGTTTTGAGGGCTGAGTTCGTTTGTTTCTTGAAATGCCTAATGCTTTTCAAGAAATATCTTGGCAATTCTAGCTTTGCTGTGCTGACTGGGGATGTGAACAAGTCATTTCCATCCCACCCCCCGGTTCGGGGGGGGGGGGGGGGAGGAGATGCTTCAAAGCAGCAGCGCCATGTGGAGCCGGGGGTCAGCTGGGGTCTCTCCTGCTGACTCTGGGTTCCATGTGGCACTACCTCTTTGCAATGCTGTAGGAAGCACGGGGCCAGTGGGGGACTGCTTGAGTCCTCTGCTTGCCCCGTGCTCCCTGAAGTGTTTCACTTTTGAAGTGTAGCAACAGCCATGGAGGTGCCCTTCTCGACTAATCGAATAGTCAATGCAAATTGCATCAACTGTTGGATTAGCCAATTAATCTAAATGTAACATCCCTAGTGCTGACAGCCACTGGTTCTATAGTCATCGGCTGCGTCTAGACTGGCAAGTTTTTCTGCAAAAGCAGGTGCTTTTGCAGAAAATCTTGCCAGCTGTCTACACTGGCCGCTTTGAATTTGCGCAAGAACACTGACGATCTAATGTAAGATTGTCAGTGTTCTTCCACAAATACAATGACTCTCCCGTTCAGGAAAAAGCCCTCTTGTGCAAATGCTTTTGCGCAAGAGGGCCAGTGTAGCCAGCTGAGAACCGTTTTGCGCAAAAAAGCCCTAATGGTGAAAATGGCGATCGGGGCTTTCTTGCGCAAAACCGCATCTAGATTGGCATGGATGCTATTCCGCAATAAGTGCTTTTGCGCAAAAGCGTCCGTGCCAATCTAGACGCTCTTTTCCACAAATGCTTTTAACGGAAAAACTTTTCAGTTAAAAGAATTTGTGGAAAATCATGCCAGTCTAGACGTAGCCATCATGTTTAGTTTGCAGTGTTTGATTCTGGATGGACATAATGGGAATATTATTTATTTGTATTGTAGTAGGAGGCCCAGCTGTGAGCCAAGACCCTATTGTGCTGACTGCAATATAAATCTAACACAAAAGGCAGTCTCCTGCTTCAAGGAACTTACAATGCAACTATAAGATAAGCATGATAGGAGTGTTCAGGAAAAAATAAGACTGTGCCTTAGTGTCCTCATCTGTGAAATGGGAGTAATGAGACAGATTTGTAGATCTTCTGATGAAAAGAGCTGGGCAATACAAGTATTATCATGGTAAAAATACAGTGTGAAAAATCTGGAAGTTAGACATCTTATACTTTCACCTTGTGTTGCCCCCCGCTATAGATGCTCACCTTCTCTATAGGATGCAGTGGTAGCTAAGATGGTTTCCTTGTGGGAGAGGAGGGGAAAAGATCAAGCCAGTGTGTTAAGCTGCTTGAGACAGGAATATATCTCTGTTTGTACTGTGCTTGGCAGGAGGAAGTATTGCCTGATTGTGCCCTCTAGAGCCATCTTAACATAAATGCCAAAGAGCAAGGATAAGATAATGTGTGATGGGGATTCTGCAGTGCTCAGTTGTCAAGCTAAATGTGAAAATATTTACCATGAAAATGATCACTATCCACAGAAAACATAATAAAAGTTAAACAAGATTCATCATACAAACATGCACATACTTCTGTATCAAAGCTCATTACGGGAGACATTCAGGCATGTGGACTATATTTTAAGCCCCAATGCAGTCTTGTCAATCCCAATGTTCAAAAGCCGTAAGTCAGGTTCTCACAAAATCTTGAGACTGCCTAGAAAACCATGCTGTTCTTGAGAAATTCATGAATGCTGGGTTCTTTAGAGGTCACATTTACAAATTTATCTCTCTGACCACAAGGGCTAGAAACTTATTTTTTAGAGGAAAGCTGAGAGTCTTATAGAATCATGTGACTCCGGGAGTTGAGGCTTTAAGGAAAACATTAAGTATCATGAGGCTTGTGATTAAAACCATGAGAGCTGGCATCAGTGAAATGGGATTTGTTGGCACAACACAGCAGGTCAATTTCAGACTCTGTCATTGATAAATCTATTTACAAAATACATCCTTTAAATAATAAAAAAACAACCCAGTGCTTAGAAATAGCATCAAACATTTTTATTGTACTCCAAAAAAACAAACAAAAAAACAAATCACCATCTCAGGATACACGTAAAGTGGATTTTTTTAAAACATCTGTTTTCTTGACTCATTTAATTGTTTTTTATTCAGTGAAAAAAGTTTGACATTGAAAAATAAAAAAATCCTTCAAAATTGTGCAATAAGACACTTAAAATCAGCAGAAATCAGTAACTGAAAAAAAACATAAAAAAGCAATCAAAATGATAAATATCTAAGCATCACGCTAAAGAGCTTACAGAGGAGAAGCTAATGCTGATGAGATCGGTTGTTTATATTATGTGCTGCCAGTTTAGAATGATCACTGTTTGTTTGTAAACCCCTTGAAGTTGATACTATAGTGAGGAAGCTTCCTGGTTCCAAGGTTACTAACTCAATTAGGCCAGTCAAATTCTGAAGTCCATTTGAAAAAGATGTGGAATTTATTTAGGAAAATATTACTCTCATCTTTCTTGAAATACAGTGTCTAAAGTTGGACTGACAAATCAGCGACATTTGTCATTAAATCATTTGAGGTCCCGGTAAACCAGAGAAAACATGCTGATTCTCTGTACATGTATTTGTGGCACAAGGGCATCCTGGTTTGCTAGGGGAATGTTTAGCATCCTAGAGACTGAAGCTCCTCTGTCCACTGACCATGGTCAGTGGTAAAGCAAGCTCTACCAGCTTTACCAATATTACTTCACACCAGCCCGGGAGCAACCGTCTCTAGGCCAGGCTCCTGGCCATATGCTTTTGGATTCAGAGTCTGGAAACAGCTTTATTAATTAGTGCTGTGTTGTGGTTAGGCTTTAATGTAATGACCACCTGTCTATTGAGAAATGGGCAGAGATCTTTCAACTCATTTACCAAACACTGAGTTGTGCTGGACTCCGTCTGGTGACCTAAAAGTGAAAATTCCATTAATTGAGAGTACGGGTTGAACTTCTCTAAACTGGACCTCTCTGGTCTGACAACATTTGTGGTCCAGAAGGACCATGGACGTTCCAGACCAGAGAGTCCCAGTGGAGGGCTGGCAGCTGGGAGCCCTGCAGACCAACATGGCTGCCCAGCGAGGCTAGGGAGCCTGACACATGGTGGTGGGGCTGGCAGGGCAGAAGGGCCCGTGGCAGGGAGGAGGTGGCTGGCAGGCCAACGGCCGAGCTAGGACTGGGGGGGTAACGGGGGCTGCGGGGGCCAGAAATGACCTCTTCTGGACTGTCAAAATCCCTCATCTGGAACAAGTCAGGTCCCACGGGTGCCAGACCAGGGAGGTCCAAACTGTACCATTCCACTAGAAAGCCACGAAGAGTAAATGTGGGGTTTGTTAGTCAGGATTTTCATGATCCTAACTATTTTTGATCTGTGACTGAGATCAAAACTACTTTCCTGGTAATCATGTACAAGTACTACATGCAGAATGTATGCTGCAGTTAGTGGCAGTGCTACGTATAAAATCACTGTAGCGCTTTCAATAGACAGCTGAATATAGACTATCATTCTATGGACAAGGCTGTTGCTATACAGAGAACTGAAGTAATTTGTTCACAGTGCAGAGAAAAACTGGGCCTGGTTTCATTTTCCTGAAGGGGTCCTCAGATTTCAAGTTTAGGAAATGGAAACTTCATGTATATTTCACTATATAAGATAAAAAACCAATGACCCAATATAATTAAAACGTTCATCTGTTGTCTTTAGTTCAAATGGACTTAAGAGTGCTGGCTTACTTCTAATGTGTGCCATGAACAATAAAACAGACTCAAAAGTTCACTCAGGGTTACATAACTAGAAGAGTCATTTAAAAAAATAACCAATAGTCAAAAACAAAATCTACTTCTTCAGATGACCGGAGTCTGGACATCCAACACTCCGGTCATCTGAAGAAGTGGACTGTGCCCACGAAAGCTCATTATACCATCTACATGTTTTGTTAGTCTTTAAGATGCTACTAGACTATTGGTTGTTTTTTAAGTTTTTCCTGTTACAGGCTAACTTGGCTACCCCTCTCAAGCTAGAAGAGTCAGATACAATGGATACCCTTTTGGTGGACATATTAGCTACGTCTACACTGGCATGAATTTCCAAAAATGCTTTTAACGGAAAAGTTTTCCGTTAAAAGCATTTTCGAAAAAGCGCGTCTAGATTGGCAGGACGCTTTTCCACAAAAGCACTTTTTGCGGAAAAGCGTCCTTGGCCAATCTAGACGCGCTTTTCCACAAAAAAGCCCCGATCGCCATTTTCGCGATTGGGGCTTTGTTGCAGAAAACAGTACTATGCTGTCTACACTGGCCCTTTTGCGCAAAAGTCTTTCGGAAAAAGACTTTTGCCCGAACGGGAGCAGCATAGTATTTCCGGAAAAGCGCTGATGATTTTACATGAGATCGTCAGTGCTTTTCCGGAAATTCAAGCGGCCAGTGTAGACAGCTGGCAAGTTTTTCCGGAAAAGCTGCTGATTTTCCGGAAAAACTTGCCAGTCTAGACACAGCCATTCCGGCGTCCTTGTTCACGAGGGTTAAGGGATTTGTTGGAATAGTGCCTTCTTTTGAAATCTGATGCTGTGTAGTGTGATAGGGCAGGTTAAAGGACTTGATGGATGGGGAGAGAGGCAGCTCAAAAAAAAAACCCCAAAGAACAAAAAAACCCAGCAACAGTCTTGGCTAATCAGGGGAAGCTGAGACAGGGCTGCTATAAATCAATTAAGGGCCAGGTGAGCTGATTCAGCCTTGCCACTGACACAGGACCTCTTTAAAAACCTTGCCTGTGAGGGAGGGCAGGGGAGAGTGGAAGACGAGTCTGGAGGAGGTGAAGGGAAGTGAGAGCTGATAAGGAAAAGGATAGAGAAGCTGAAAAACAGAACATCCACACTGCCAGAATAGAGGAGGAAGGTAAGGGGCCTGACAAGGAGCGTTTGGGCTTCCTTCCCCAAGTGGGCTGAGAGCCCAGCCAGTGATGGAGGGGGACTGGTTACTCAGCCCAGGCTGACCAGGGTGTCTGTCCCAGTGCCTGTACAGCCAAGAGGCAGAAGCCCAAACACTGGGAAGGGCTAGTGAGACTGTGGATCGTGGACAGAGCAGGGGTCTAGGACCCAAGAATGACAGAGCCAAATTTCAAACTAAGCTCTTTCAATTTAGACTCAGAATAAAGCTATGCAAATTGTGTAGCACAAATTGTGTAGCTTATTCTGACAGAAGGGTGCTGTCTATACCCAGGCTAAAGCAATACCCAGGCACTGAGCTTTATTCCACCCACATTGCATCAACCGAGGCACTGTTAACCAGGAGTATTTTTCATTTGTAACTAAGTGGCTCACACTGGAAAGAGTCAGTATTTTGTACAGCTGAGAAGTGAACTCAGTCTAAGTGACCAGCAATGATCAGTCACCCAGGGGAAGTAGGTTGCCAGGTTCAAAAGTTTGAAAACATCCTACTGGAGAATCGCTACAGTTTATTTAAAGTGGCCATGAGTTATTAATAGTTGGAATTGGTCTTAGTGTGTATGTCCCTACACAGGAACAAAAGGCATGGGTTAAATTCTGCTTTGCCTCAGGTGAGTCTTTCCACTGAAGTCAACATGACTGTTTAGGTAAGTAAAGCATACAGGATTTGACCAGTATCAGTGTCTAGAGACACACACATACCCCTTTTGAGATACTATTACACTATTTCTTTTTAGCGATTGTGCAGTAATATCTATTTAACAAAACAAAACAAAAAATCCACCACATCCCTGGATTCGTTCTTTTTTTTTACTTCACCCCAGCTTCCCAGAAATGTATTCAGTAAATCTAGGGATTTGTCACCCTGGGTCAAATTTTTGATCTTGGATATATTGGTGTAAATCGGAGGTGATTTAATTTCCAACAAACTTTATTGGAGTTCCTCCAAATGTATATCTCACAATCAGAGCTGGCCCGAGGTATGGGCTAGTCAGGATACTGTCCAGGGCGCCCCAATGTAGGGGGCACCGCGCAGGGCCAGGCAGGGGAGCCACCGTGCATGCTCCGCGCGTCCATGGTGATGCCACGCATGCGCCGGGCACCCAGGGGCGGGGCCGCGTATGTGCCGGGCACCCGGGAGTGGCGCGTGCCCAGGGGCGGGGCCGTGCATGAGTTGCACTCCCGGGGGCGGTGCTGCGCTCCTGGGGCCCGGGGTGCGCAAATGGCTCGGACTGGCCCTGCTCACAATAGCATCTGGCCCTCACACAAAGTAAAAACAAGCAAGTCATAACTCTAAATAAAGGAGTAGTGTCCTTAAAATCCAATTCCATTTTGGTTCCCCCCCATTTAAAAAAAAAGAAAAAGAGCTCATTTGTCACTGGGGAATGACACACTGCCAGCAGCTGATTTAGTATTTCTGTAGTGTATTGAACCATATAGAACTTCTACTATTTGTACATTTTCTTGCTTGAAATTAATCACTTGTTTATCTAAACATAATTGACCTTGCTGGCCTCACCCTATCCATAGGAAGACTGCAATTATATTTTCAAGTTACACAACAAAGATACTTTTGGTTAAAATATTTATATAATGACAGGACAACACATTGTATTTTACTGGTATAGAGCCAATATGTGTTGCAAATATAAAATATGTATAGATGTGATCCGTGAACACTCACTTACAGTATTTGCTCTTGGGCTGGCAAGTAGTTTTGACTCTATGGGTTGAATTCAAACTCTACTGTCACAAAAAGCTAGACAATGGTACCAGATGTTTTTAACTGCTAACGTTTAGCTTTGTAGCTGATGGTGTGTTCGCAGTAAGTGCAGAACAGATAATGATCGGAATAGATATATATATTACTTCTGAAGCTGAAGTTGAAACCACAACTATTTTGAGGAAATAGTAATGAAGGAATATAATATGCTTTTGTAACCCCAAATAAATTCAGATTTTCAGATAAGTAGAGCTTCATAAGACTGTGAAAAACCTGCATTCAAAGCACTTTCTCTAGTTTAAGACAGCATGTCTCCACCCCACCCTCCGCCTGCCCATCAATATAACAGCATCCTAAAGAAGTTCAATAGAGGAAACACGTTGGTCAAACTGCATTTGACAGCATGTACTGAAATGTGTTTTTAAAGACAGTGACCTCTTTTTCCTCTTAGTTTCCAATTTTTATCAATAATGTATTTAACTAAAGGATCAGACTAACGTAAATACACGTTAGGTAACCCTACAGCATGTAGGGCAATGCTGGTGATGCACAGGACTCCATGGTCTGGAGTTCTGTCAGGCAGAAAAGGTCAGAACTGAAAATTGTGGAGTTTAGGATTAATTATCTAAATCCATATTAAGGGCTAGACCTCTAAACAGTTCCATACAAGTAACTTGCTAGTACCATGGAAGTCAGTGGTACTAACATGTCTAAAGTTACTAATATGTATTAAATATTTGCACAATCTGGACCTTAATCACCTAAATTAGACCTTGACTCAGCAATATACTTAAGCATGTAAATAAATCTTATGTACATGAGTGGTGACTTGAATGGGAATATTTACGTGAATATAAGCAGGCTCATACTTAAGTACCTTGACTGAATCAGGATCAAAAAGTGGTCTGATTGGCTTCAGGGACAGAATCAATGGGAGCTGTGGGTCCCCTTTTTGAAAATGAGGCCACCAACATATTTAGATCTTTATGAATGTAAGTGTTGCACATTTGGCCCTGAGGTCTGGTTCAGAAAAGTCAAAGAACTGAAGCACATGTGTAAATCCCATTGATTTCATTGGGACTTAAGACATGCTTCAAGATAAGAAAGTGCTGAAGTGCTTTGCTGAATTTGGCCCCAGAGTTTTAAAATTTTGACTCCATTTTTTAACAATGGGAGGGGGGGTTAAAATTAACTATTTTTATTATTATGGCAGTAACAATGATTGTGATAGCAAAAATCTATTGCCGTGCAAGATAAAATGGTGCACATTCTCCACAATGTGTACAAAGTTTGACAGTTCTGGAAATCTGATCTAAAGCATGTTTCCCAATAAATTAACACAACAAAAACACTTTCATATAAAACAAAGTCCAAAGGTTGATTTTTTTTTAAGTAAATGTAAAACCATCAGGGACTATATTACTTGTCTCCCTCACTATATATAATCTCCTGAATTTTTAAAATAAATTTCTTATTGTCTTAGAAAAATAAAAAAGAGTAGCCAATTTAGTGAAGAGAAAACATCTCACAGACTTAAAAGCATGCCCAGCAAGCACAGCCTTGTAAGACTAAATTAATGTTAAAACAAAGCAATTTGTTTCTAAATCAACCTGGTCTGCAGTTCACAATTGATTACTACAAAGTGTACTTTTTTATTATTTTGGCCCATATAAAAATAATGTATTGCAACTCAAAGTGCATTTTTTAAAATAAACAATCAACTATTTTTATCAAATGAAATATTTACACCATTTGGTTTACAGTCAGAAATGTGCTTCATGCAATGACCATCGGAACATCATCTGAGAATCCAGTTATCATAGGGGCTTCGTCATCCTCATCGCCTGGAAAGTAAACACAATGTTCTGTCATGTTGCTACAGCAGTTTGATGCATTCTAAGGCCAGAAGGGACCATTACATCATCTAGTCTGACCTCCTGCATAATCTAGGAATAATGTAGTGGAGCAGGCTAAGACCATTTGAGCCAATTTCCTCTCCCTAACTGAAGGTGCAGAGAACAATTTGCTTCATGTGTAGATTTTGGTACAGACATGGCAGTTTGGCATTAAAGCGAGACCTTGGAGTTAACAATAGTAAAAAGCATCTTATTTATGCAGGACCTGATCGACCACATGGGATATAATCCTACCAACAGACTTCAACAGGAACAAGAACAAACCCAGAGACTCATTCCAAAGTGTCCCCAAAACAGAAGTTAGGTGCCTGTTCTGCTCCCACATAAGTCAATGGAACTTGTACAAGAGTTGAATACAGCCCAACACACACGCACAAGAACTTATTTGCCATTGAAAATACAGCAGTCTCTGGGGTGGAGCTGAAACTGGGACAATTTTGGCTGAGGACACTAGAATAAATTTGGATGCTGACAGTGAGTGTAGTATTCTGTAGTATTCTGTAGTATTCTCTCAACACAGACATGGAACTAGATTCTCTTCTGGTTTCAACGGAATTCAGTGGATTTATTCTAGCAGAGAGTTTTGCTCAGACATCCTAACCCTTTGAAGTGCATGGGACTCTTGTTTCCAATGGGCATAGGACAGAAACTCCAACAGGGAGAAGGTGGCTGAGTTGGCCCAAGTAGGAGCTGAATCTGTGTTTCCATGTATTGAAAATGCCAAGGGATGGTAGATAAAAAGGAAGAAAGAGGATGTATCTGTCCATTCATGCAGCCCACTCACTAGACTAGTTGCCCATCACTGCCATACATCCTTATTGGCCAGTGCTGTGTATGTGTCAGGCCATGGTTTGAGAAGGCACGGTCAGCGACGTGTAGACTACACTCTTATAGATGTTGCCTGTGAGGTAGGCTGGGACTAGAGTCAAGGGCAGATGGCACAAGAGCTGCAAATAATGTGCTTCAGAAACATAAAATTGTGCGTCGCTTTGAGGAAGTTTGGGACCTGCTCTCTGCTACTGAAACGTGACCAAGAACTACAAACATTTCAACAGCTTACCAGCTACTCAGATCAGTGCATCAAGAGAGCTTCAGTGGATAGATACACAAACCTCTCATAAAATTGCAGGACATGGAATAGTGCTACTTACCTAAATCATCACCAGAAGAGAATATGGCTGAGCCAAGGCGGGAGCTGTAGTGGCTATTTGCAAAGGCAGTAAAGCTATTCTGCAGTCTTCTGTGTCTCATGTACAATACAACAAACCCTATCCCCATGGTCACGAGCAATAGGAATAATACTGGGACCACGATGGTCGCTACATCTGTGGATTTACCAGTTTTCGATGCAGAGGCATCTTCACCTATGAATGGGAAAAAAAATGCCATTTGCAATTGCTGCTTTACAGTGTTCGGGTAACTGCTGTCGGTTTAGTTTCCTAAAGATCTTCCAGTGGAATAATGACTCTGCATGGTATAAAATCATAATGGCATTTAAATCCTGCTAACAGTGGTGATCCCCTCTAGATGCCCTCTAGCAAAACACGTAACTGGAATTTATAATATTCGAAGTCCTTGGCCTGAAGAGCACACAGTAAAAAAACCCAACAAAACAGCTTTTGTTTTTGTATTTAAAAGACAGGCTTTGATCATGTCTAGTTTAAGGCAGAAACACAATGAATGAAAACATACCAGCTCCTAGTTCATCATACAGAAGAGTAGCAGGCTCCCCACACATCTGTCCACTATAAAGGCATCTGGCCTGAACTGTGAATGTATAGTTGTGGCCTATCTTCAGGTTGGAAATTTTGAAGAAGTTCTCTGTGGTGTTCCCAAGATAAGCTGTGATATTCATTGTGCTATCAAACATATGTATCTCATAACCCTGAAATGCAAGGAAAAAATCCAGAGAATAAAACCCAGATCACTCGGTTCTTCAGGGTTTGTTATTTCAGACACACACACACCCCCTTTTTTTTTTTTTTTGCTAATGTATTTAGCCCTGTTGACAGCAATTATACACATTTTCTTCAGGAATATAAACATTCACCCTAACCTCAAGGGCCTAGTCTAGTGCTGAGAGATTTCAGCCTCCATTGGTAGAGCCCTGCAAATCCACAGATACCCACAGGTATTCATATCTGCCACTCATGTCTGCAGATACGGAGGCAGATGCAGCTACAAATTCTGTGTGTAGAACCCTGCAAATTTGTGGATATCTGTTTTATATCTGTGGGTATTTGCTCTATGGATGTGGATATCTGCACATCACTTTTGCAGATGCGAATACCAATTTTGTATCTGCACAGGGCTCTATCCATGGGCTATTCAGTGCTTAGCATCTCTCTCACACTGCCAAAGACAGAATGATACTTTTGTGGCATGGATCCTCTTGGATTAGGATTGAGCACCACCAATTCCACTTCCTGTAGATCTTCTTTCAGTCTTTAGGTATTTCAAGCACTACTGCTGTGACGACCTCCATACGAAAGGTTTGGTGTCTCCTTGAACTGTTTGATTGTCCTACTCCGTGGAGATTTTCAGAAAGGGCGATCGATGTTCTTAAAAGCTACTGAAATGGGTCTCATCTCATTGATGAATAAACAAAGCTATCTGCATGCAAGAGGAATATCAGGAAAACTTTGTGGAACAGGGAGGTGTACTGTCTTTTTAATGAGTTCATGAAGTTACTCCTCCTAGGCCAGTTTGCGACTCCACTGCAGGTTAGAATGGGCATCTGGGTCAGTGAAGGGGAAGAACTGAGCTCAGAGAAGCAATCTGGAATGCCTTAAAAACACCAAAATGCTGACCCTAGCCCTGAGTCCTGAAGGTGAAGTTTTATAAGCAGGCAGGGTTGGCTGGAACTTGCCTCTCCCTTCAGTCTACCCTGGTTCCTTGTGGTTCTTCCACACCAGTGTCTCTCACCTTCAACAACAGAAGAGTAAGACAGGTTGGGTAATGGAGTCCACTGGAACAGCTGTATTGCAGAGATAGTGTAGGGCAAGGCATGCTGGGAAAGAAGGGAGATTCCTATCTATCTAGCCACAGGCAGACACACAGGAATGTGCACACACTGACATGCACGTCAGTGCATTGTGTTCTCAAGCTGGTCTGTAAAACGGCACTTAATTCACCTTGAACCATACCAGCTTCTTAATTAACAAACAAACAAAAACCCCAAAACCAAAGCAAATGTTGTGACTTACCCGGTTTTCATTAAAATTGCTTTCTTTCAAGGCTAAACTCTTCCAAAAAAGCAGAATATGATCATTTTCTGTTAGAATTTTTAAGGCATCTGGTGCAGATAGTGAGACTGCAAATGGGGAAAATAGGCAAACGTGTTACTTAATAGTATTGTCTCTATTTTTAGAAACTGCAATAAACAAGATCACTGAGAGTCTATCTATCTATCTATCTATCTATCTATCTATCTATCTATCTATCTATCTATCTATCTATCTAACATTCGGCAGTGTTCTATATACACTGAAACGATATGAAGGACCCTCGCCACTGAAATCAATGAGAGTTTTGCAACTGGAATCAATGGGAGGAGCAAATGACTGGTAGGCATGCTGCTTGCTGACTACAACAAAGACATGTTTAATGCCTACACTTAAGAAGGTGACAAATTCCCTGCCTGACACTGTTAGTGGCTGCCCTCTTTTAAGAGTTTTTTTAAGTGCTTTTCCTGGGAGTTACAGATGCTCATTATCTCTCAGGATCAGTCCTCAAGTATGGAAAATAGATTGGATGACATAAGAACACCGGTGTCTCATACTAGATCAAATCAATGGTCCATCTAGCCCAGGGGTCTCAATCTCATGGCCTAGGGGCCATCTTCAGACTTGAGCATATTTGCAATCCAGCCCATGACATCCTGTCTGAAACATCCACTCCATGTGCAGTGGCAGTCAAAAAAGTGAACAGAATGTTTGGGAATCATTATGAAATGGCTAGATAAGAAGACAGAAAATACCATATTGCCTCTATATAAATCCATGATACGCTCACATCTTGAATACTGCAAGCAAGTGTGGTTGCCCCATCTCAAAAGAGGTATCTTGGAATTGAAAAAGGATCAGAAAAAAGTAACAAAAATAATTATTGGTATGGAGCAGCTTCCGTATGAGGAGAGATTAATAAAACTGGGACTTTTCAGCTTGGAAAAGAGATGACTAAGAGGAGATGTGATAGCAGTCTATAAAGTCATTACTGGTATGGAGAATGCAAATAAGTAAGTGCTATTACTCCTCATAACACAAGAACTAAGGATCATCAAATCAAATTAATAAGCAGCAAGTTGTTAAAACAAACAAAAGGAAATATTTCTTCACACAACATGAAGTCAACCTGTGTGGAACTCTTTGTGAAGGCCATGCTTCTAAAAAGAACTACAGGTTGAACCTCTCTAGTCTGGTGCCCTTGGGGCCTGACCAGTGCTGAACCAAAGAATTTCCCTAGGCAATATATTCCATTGTTTAATCACCCTGAGTTCAGAACTTTTTCCTAATGTCCAACCTAAACTTCTGTTGCTGCAGTTTAAGCCCATTCTTTCTTGTCCTATCGTCAGAGGCCAAGGAGAAATTTTTTTCCCTCCTCCTTGTGACACCCTTTTAGATACCGAACCCCCCCTCCCCTTTTTTTGAAAGAACCCTATAAACCTCATTTTTGAAGGAATAAGGGTTCTTCCAAAAAAAGGGGGGAGGTTGCACAAAACCCCCCATCTAGACTGCTTTTTTTTTTAAACCCTCTTCC